CTCAGTAAGTTTCTCTAGAACAGAGCATTTCACACCAAACCACTCTGAATGACTTTGTTTACATCTAAACCAATTAATTATGCAGAAATTTAGAAAAATCAGTGGAATTCCTCTTTAATGCCTTTAGTAGCATTATTCTTTGACCAATAAAAAAGTGATGCACTGAATTTACCTAATGCAAATCTGAACAGCATTTCCACATACAGTCAGAGACCACCCTTCATTTATTTGTTTTTCAGAAATGGCCATTAAGTACAAGTTATGCATTTGTCAGCATCAGGAAAAAAGCAGAAAACACAATTGACCGAAATTAACCAGAAACCTCAACAACAAAATATAATAAATAATAAATATCAGTGTTAATGTGTCACTCTTTACCTTTATTACAGCTTCTATTCTTTTCAGGCGTCCCACATTCAGTTTTTCAAAGAAATCTGCAGACACACCTCCAAAGTTCAGTCTTAGAAGTTGGCTCTATTTTCTGCTTTTCACAATCCAAAAAGTCCCAAACACATTAAGTGATGTCGAGGTCGGGACTTTTTTCCACTTATTTTCCTTCGGATGTCTCCTTTCTTATGCAAGTGGATTATGTCATATTTAATCTCCTCAGAAACATCTGCTGAAAAATGTTTGTGTGTTTTCCCTGAATATGAAATAAAACAAAGGCGGTCTCTGACTTTTGCACAGTACTGTAAATAAATATGACATATACTATATGTCCAAACGTTTGTGGACACCCTTTCTTGTTAGTGAATTCAGCTCACTGCTGGTCACTCACTGCTGACATGGGAGTTCAATGCACACATAGCTTGTATAGTTTCCACAGAAAAGCACTGACAATAGAATAGGATGCTCTGGAGCAGCCACACATGAGCCTAAGGTCACCATGTCCAATGCCGAGCATGGGCTAGAGGGGTATGAAGCCCCCCGGTAGTGTGCTGTGAAGCAGCGGAATTGTGTTCTCTACAGTAACAGGGCACCAACCAGTACCTTTGGGATGAGTTGAAGTGATCCAGAACTGACCATCCAACATCAGTACCTGAAATCACTAGTGCTCCCGCTGCTAAAAGCAATCAAATCTTCACAGCAATGTTCCAACATCTAGTGTAAAGCCTTCCCTGAAGTGTAGAGACAGTTACTGCAGCAGAGGGGGCAAACTCCTTTTGTAATACTCTTGTATTTGGAGGAAACATTGGATATATTTAAAAATATTTTGGCCATCTAGTGTATCATTATTGTCAAAAGTACGTAAGCAAACTGAAAAACAAACTGTGCTGATCTAATTTTATATTTTATGTAACTGCACAGTTTATTCAAGAGGAATTGATGTAAACATTTGCCTGAAATCAAAAGCAGCCCTTCTGTGAGTGTAATAAATTTCTAGACAGTTCTGAGTGGTCCACTTGTGGTGGGAGTTTTCAGGACAGATGTGCGTCCCTTCACCTTTGCAGACTAGTCGCAGCACTGTGTGTGATAAGGGCAGCGCTGCGGTGGGAAATGACTGCAATTAAATTCAAATAAATAAAGCATGTTTATAAAACAGAAGAGAGTTCCAGTAGATCGCCATCTACTTTCCCTTGGAAGTGAAGCCATAACAGGATGTGCTTGAGTTCAAGGCCCTCAGGACCCCACTGTTTTCACAGCACACAGCCTGAAGGTCCACCAAAACTGGAAATGAAAGTTTACGAATGTGAAAAGATCTAAAGACACTTTTCTGCAGGTTTAGAGCATGTAGTGTAAACTGGTGGTGGTGGGGGCCAATAGAAGAAGTGATACAATAGAAGTTTGTCAAAAATGATTTTGCATGACACAGACTTCCATTGCTTGTTAGCTTCATTAGCCTTGTAGTGCCAGTGCAAAACTGAAGAAGCAAACTTCAGATACCAAGCATGTTTTGCCTGATCGACTATATTTGGGGAAAAATATAAAACTTGCAAATATGTTTTGTGAACTATTCCTTTAATAGAGTAGTGCTGCTGGTACAACAGGAAAATCAAAATCTTCTTCAAAGAGCACAACTGATTTGTTTATTACATTACATTATTTTTATTCCATTATTTCTTAATCCAGTAATTCAATTAAAAAAAATCTAATTTCTGCTGTGAGCCATATTTTCATAGAGATCCATACGTGATACAACCGATACGTTCATGGGACGTCACCTACAAGACGGATGGTTTACACTTGTGTACTCTTGTTAGGACATGCTACTGGTATTTATTATAAAGTACTACATTTTCATATTAATTAACTAAAAACAAAAAATACGATTTTTTACATTTGTTACATACACACACACATTATCCGTCTGGGTCAATTCTAGGGGCAATTTAGCGTGTCCAGTTGGCCTGACTGCATGTCTTTGGACTGTGGGAGGAAACCCACGTAGACACTGGGAGAACACGCGAACTCCACACAGAAAGGACCCTGGTGGTCCCTTCTTGCTGTGAGGCAACAGTGCTACCCATTGTGCCACTGTGCCGCCCTGTGTTACACACAACTTACTATAATTACATACAATACAAATGCTAAAAAAAAGAGTTCACTCTGTTGTTGGTTAATCAGTTTTCTCTCATTGGTGTCACTTAACAAATGCATTCACTGAGTAAATCAGGGTCAGCTGTGTTTCAGTGAAATACAGATTCACTTGATCAGTGTTTGTTTGGTCATCGTAACCTTATTGAGTAAAACTCATCATCTGTCCAGCAGGTGATCCAGCAGGTTCCTGTCAGAACAAGAAGTGAGTGCACGTTTCTGTTTGTGTATGATGTTGATAAACACTGAGGGGTTCAGCGATGATTGTAAGAGTGGCCCTTGTGTTCAAGATTTTAGATCAAACTACATGCTTTCTAGAGATGCATCAGTAGTGCATATTTTTTAATGCCAAGTCCAACACCATACTGAGTAACCAATTTAGAATAAAGCACTCATTAGTGCAAATGAGTGCAATGTACCTTACCAATTAAACTATTCAAGTCAAGCTGATTCTAAATTATGCTACATTAATTACCTTGGACTTCAGTGGAGAAGAGCGGCTTTTGTTGAATGTCGGAAAAGTGCTTCTATACAGCTGTAAAGTACTCTTCATAGTTTTGTATAGTGTGTGAAAAACCCCCTGGTATTCAGGGGGTCCCGTGTTGGCTGGCTGCTAACTCGCTCTCCATAGTGGCGCTGATGCTTCAGTGGCAACAAAATGTTTGGTTTAGCAGTTCTACTTCTGGAAATGCTATTTTCTTGCATGGTAATGTGCTCTTCCACACAATAACTGAGATCTTACACATCTCCTCTTTTGTCTTTGGTTTGAGAAATGAGCAACAAATCACACTTTCCACCAATAGTTACAGTTGCTAGGCCATGAAGGACCAGCTGGGTGGACCATTTTGCTACAGTGCCACCCTGAGGCAGACCAGTGCTGCATCTCTACTTAGCTAACAGTATGAAAGCTCACTGATTGTGGGTAAAACAGCTAAACAATGACCCTTCTCTTAATTTTGAGACATTCAGGGGGCCCAAGAATTGAATTAGGGGGTCCCAGATCCTCCAGGACCCCATGTATTTCATCCCTTAGTTTTGTTCTCATGCTCTTCATCTGTCTCTTTCAACAACACTCTCTGTGGCACAGTGACAGCAGGAACCACGTCTAAGGCTAACGCATCCGAGGAGCTCATGCTTCAAGTTTTACGTCTTGTTTTGATTGGCTGGTTGAACTGTAGCTAAATGTTCTTAAACACCAGATATACACTTGTACTCTAGTTCTTTGGTGACTCACACAACGCAGCCTCTACAGATGCCTCTGTCTACAAACAATTTCAAATAAAGCTGCTTCTGTCAAAATAACACGATAACACACAGAGTACTGAGCAAACACACTGAGAAACTGAGCTACAGCAGCTCTGCTGACTTGTGCCACACTGTGCATTGAAACTAAAGCCAGGCGGTGATGTACATGGTAGGACAATATAGTCTCTCTACAGCCTATTTTACAAAGACAATATACAGTCCTAAAGTTTATACCTTGCAATTCTATTCTGTCAACCAGAGTAAAGCCAGCATATACAGACTTTGCTAGCAAATATTGACTTTTTTGCCTCCATTTTGCTAGCCTACGTGCCTCCACTTGTATTTTAGAAGTGGTTGTTATGGTATTTGTGTGGGTTTATAAATGGGCTAAAATCACACAGTGTATTCCTGACAAGAAAAAGAATGTTTTAAGTGCCCAATGACTTTGTGTCTGACCTCCACAGCCTCAGCAGCACTTCCTGGTGTGAGCTGACCCTCATTCACTGGCAGCTTGAGTCGTTTGTTCATTAAGACGAAAGCATACACTCGGCTCACATCACATGGTAGCAGCTGGTATTGGATGTTAGTATCGCTGCATTCAGTTTTAGGAGGTTGAGTATGAGTAACTGAGCACAGTATTGGGCCGATACCTGAGACCAACATCAGTATCAATGCATCCCTAATGCTTTTCATGTCATTTTTCAAAAGCAGATTAATGCTGCAGCCCACATTAAAATAAAAGTATCAACGCAAACAGCTCTTTAATTCAATGTAAACACTTTTAAGAGATGTCTTTAGGTGAGAGTAGGAGAATCTGAGTTGAAAAACTCCATTCGCTCAGCTGTCATGAACGCAGCGTCAGACCACAAGGTCCGAGGCGGCTTAACGACTAGGGACTGTCCACTGCAAACACAAAAACTAGATAGCTTTTGAATAAATAATGAAAAATGAATGAAATAAAGGCTCCTCAGCCCACACCCTGCTTATCTATTTCCAGTATGTCGTTGTATATTCTATAATCTGTGTTATATTATGTAGGGTCATAAGTAGGTCATACTGTACGCTAAACCAAGGCCTGGATGCGGTTTGAGCAGGATGAGCAGATATTTTAGGGATGTATTTTTACAAGAACAATTCGGGCTACTTTGATGACTATTTTGAGTGAGTGTTTTGAGTGTTTGTTAGCTGCATTAGCTTTGTAAGATTTGCATTCTACTCACCTTTTGACCTTTTATTCCTTCACAGTGACATCTGGATTTGCTGTTACACACACATCTCTGAAACGAGAACATTCAGATTTAAACAATATGATTATCACATGCAGTAAGGTAAATGTGCAATATGTGTGAAATTCAAAGTGTACACAATGCTGCTGGGTCTCATGACAGACTAATCAAAGACGCACAACCACATGATATGATTCTAGTGGTGTTAGCCACTGCGCTCTCTGACCATAGCTACATTCTCATCCACTTTCTGCACTAACCGTAAGCAACAAAATGAAAATGTTTAAGAAAAATGCAATTTTCCTGCCCAGCAGCTTCCATCAACCTCACTTCTAGCGATAAAAATGCTTTACATAATGGCATTTTGCTAATCTATTAGTCTGACAGTGAGTTTTAGTGCATGTTAAAATGTAAGTAATTGAGCTATATAATATCGTTACTTGGGCCTGTGCCTATCAATGTTGTTTTAAACTAAAAATATCATAATATTATACTCTACTGATGTTTTCTACCACCTCTAGCAGTCACATTAACTTAAACCGTGATTAGAAACTCTCACTTCAGAAAGCAAGGTCTCAATTGGTGAATATTCCATGTTAAACTACAACCATTGTAAAATTACCAAGCTATAAGATAAAGCAATGGAATTAAAGTACTACACTCCATTTGTACAAAAATATAATTTTTACAAATATTTTAATAATTCAATTTCAAAATAAAGTGTAGTTGTAATGGGCTGGGATATTTAAAAATGCTGTTTTAAGTCATTTGTAAGGGGCACTTTATGCCTGTTTACCCCCTTACCAAGCCATGGGCCCAAAGTTTTATTAGACACTTCTATAACCTAAGAAAAGCTCCATTAGTTTGCACTGAAGTCCCTGTACTAAATAATAAGCCTTAGTATGTAATAAGCCTGGAATGTTAAGGGGTTAAATGTCTCACATTCACTTTACATACATAATTGCAAATGTTATTTCAGTGGAACACAAATGGCCCCAGTCACAGAATCATCCAGCTAACAACATGACATCATACATGTCGGTATTATCTCAATATCCTTTTTTCACCCTGATTTCCCTTTCAGTATTTTCTGCTGATATCAGACCAACAGTGCTACCTGGTATCAGATCAGTGCCGTCTATAACGTTAACCAAAGTACATTATTTTAAATGTATCACATGATAAATACTCCAGCCAAAGACTAAACTCATGGAGGCAGTGCATCCTAATGCATTGTAAACTCCTATAAGCAACCACATACAACAACATATACAACACTGCCTAACATCTGCCTTACTGGTCTCTCCCCAGCTGTTTATTCTTGTGTGTCAACACAGAAAAGACCACCAGGACTGAAGCAGAAGCATGCACAAGCTTAAGAACGTCCAGAAAAGCATTTCTGTGTGCACCATGTCTGTCACATACATTAATTATATAAATGATCTCAGAACCTCTACACTTTATTTATCCTGCATTGTTTACTGTATACCATATGCTACTCTCTGCCTCTGTTCCACTCCAAAAACAAAACATTTCCTCCTTTACCATACAGACAGGCTTATTATTCACATATTAATCTTAAGATTAGCTATTCAATAACTACTATTATTCAGTAACCACCATGAAGTATTAAGTGTCAATTATGAATTTTTAGGTACTATGTAAGTACTATAAATTATTTAGTAACCACTATGGATTATGTATTATTTATTTAATATTTAATTCATTAATTTATTTATTTAATATTTAATATACTATGTGTTCTTTAATTACTACTGTGAATTATTCTGTAAATACTATGAATTATTTAGTGTCTGCTATAAATTCTGTAATTGCAATAATTTATTAAGTTACTACTATGAATTATTCAGTAATCACTAGAAATTATTCTGTAAATACTATGAATTATTCAGTAACCACCATGAATCATTCTGTATGTACTAAGTATTAAGTGTCAATTATGAATTTTTAGGTACTATGTAAGTACTATGAATTATTTAGTAACCACTATGGATTATGTATTATTTAATATTTAATTCATTAATTAATTTATTTAATATTTAATATAATGTGTTCTTTAATTACTACTGTGAATTATTCTGTAAATACTATGAATTATTCAGTGTCTACTATGAATTCTGTAATTGCAATAAATTATTAAGTTACTACTATAAATTATTCAGTAATCACTAGAAATTATTCTGTAAATACTATGAATTATTCAGTAACCACTATGAATTTTTCAATATCTACTGCATGGTATTCAATTACCACTGTAAATTATTCAGTGTCTACTATAAATTCTGTAATTGTAATAAATTATTAAGTTACTACTATAAATTATTCAGTAATCACTAGAAATTATTCTGTAAATACTATGAATTATTCAGTAACCACCATGAATCATTCTGTATGTACTAAGTATTAAGTGTCAATTATGAATTTTTAAGTACTATGTAAGTACTATGAATTATTTAGTAACCACTATGGATTATTTATTATTTATTTAATTTATTTAATTAATTAATTAATTTATTTAATATTTAATATAATATGTGTTCTTTAATTACTACTGTGAATTATTCTGTAAATACTATGAATTATTTAGTGTCTTCTATAAATTCTGTAATTGCAATAAATTATTAAGTTACTACTATAAATTATTCAGTAATCACTAGAAATTATTCTGTAAATACTATGAATTATTCAGTAACCACTATGAATTATTCAATATCTACTTCATGTTATTCAATTACCACTGTAAATTATTCAGTGTCTACTACAAATTATTCAGTAATTATTATGAATTATTCAGTAAATACTACAAATGATTCAGTAACTTCTGTGAACTATTCAGTACCCACTATACAGTATTTAGTAACTACTATAAATAATTCAGTATCCACTATATATTGTTCACTATTCAGTATGAATTATTCCATCAACTAATATGAATTATTCCATTAACTATTATGAATTATTCATCTTAATCACAAATTATTCCATAACTACTAAGAAACTAATGTGAAAGTTCTGACCTTTAGTTTATAGGGTTAACAGAGTATATTTAGCTATTAAAATGATAAATAATTGCGACTCAATCTGCACATTACTGTTTCAGAGTGCTATACTGTGGAGATTTTATACTTACAGGTCAAAAGTTATCACTTGAGGTTTTCTATAGCAGCGTTTCTCAGCCCTGGTCCTGGAGGCCTACAGTCCTTCACACTTAGATGCTTTTCCTGCTTTAACACAGTCACTTTAAATCAATCATGGACTGTAAACAAGCTGATTGGTTGGATCAGGTGTGTTGGAACCCTGGATCCAGGGTTAAGAAGCTGCTCTATACTACCAAAATATAATTATGTTAGTAATACAGTTACAGCAATATATTCATTAAAACACAGCAGGGTTAGGCCCTTTACTGATTACTGCTTTGGAGCACTGCTTAGAGTTGCATAACGTTGCATTCATGTCTCTTTGCCATCCATAATCAGACCTAATACATATCAAATATCAATAACAAATGCCTTATTATTAATATAGTAAGACAGAATGTGTTTCTGTGCAATTTTGTCGGCTTTCTGCGCAACAAGAAGTTGACAAAAGCTTCTTCATATGTGTCATATGCTATAAAAATGCCAAAAAAAAAGAGTTGTCTTGGCTTGTAGAGTCACTTTATAATATTCATATTCTGTACAAAAGTAATGTTTTGTTAGGTCTCCAAACAGCAACCCAGTGGTCAGAAAACCTAATTGTGACAGGCACTGTGTTTGGAATGGTTCACTTGTTAACTCACACAGCGTTTAGTTACAAGTGTACTGACAGGAAAATGACCACAGGCCGGCTGAAAAATGTATCATTACAACATGGACAAAACACTACATGGTGCGCTATTTCTGTAGTATGAAGTGATTTCCAATGAGGCTCATGGAATTTAGAAAACCCTCCCAGTACAACTTGCCCACAATGCCTCACAACACCCAGTACATCACTGCATGCAGCACTGACTTCACTTAATGGTTCATAAAACTCTAAATCACATATGTAACTCTAAATCATGTATGTAAGGCTGAACAATTGGGGGGTAATAACTAATTGCAATATTTTCTGACCAATATTGTGTTGGTTTGCTACAAATTAAACTACAGGCCTTTTTTCCCTATAAAGACCGGCACATCCATTTTTTCAGATTTGAGGCCTGATTGCTGAATGTAGTGAACCAGCCTGCCAGTTCACAAGCTTCGTTATTAAGGTTAAATTTAAACTTATTAAGGCAATGTTGAATAATGTAGGATATCACAGAGATTTTGTTCTGACAGCAGCTCTTGCAATTTGAAGATTGCGCTCTTTCAAATTGTGATTTTATTATTATATATATATATATATATATATATGTGTGTGTGTGTGTGTGTGTGTGTGTGTGTGTGTGTGTATGTATGATATATACATATATATACGTATGTATGTATCGCTGCTGTCAGAACAAAACCTCGTATCTCCATTTTTATTGTTTTTCAGTTTTTGACATGATTTGAAAATACCTGCTCCTCTTTACACTGTGTGTAAATTTCATGAAGAATTAAATTATTATTAAATTACATTAGACATTTAGAGCAGGTGGCCAAAGCACACAGCAGCACTGGACATTCGACTTGCAGCAGGTGGCCAAAGGTGACAAAACACCTGTTCAGGTTCTTCCTCACGAAGAAATTCCACACGTTCCAGACATGAAAACTTTTTACCTTAACTTTCCAGGCTTTTTACTTCACTTTTGTAAAGATCATTTTGTATGCAATGGCAATGAGATTTGCACATCTAATACTAAACATTTACAAACTGTTGACTCTTCAAGCTGATTTAGAATCTTGATTCAGTGAAAAACGCTTTGAATTGACATGATTCAGATGTGTCAAGTGGTTGCAAATGAACCAAATGTGCCACATCAATACAATTCCTGCTAAAAAAAAATAACAAACTACAAATAAATACTATGAATTATTCAGTAACTACTATGAATTATTCAATATCTACTGCATGGTATTCAATTACCACTGTAAATTATTCAGTGTCTGCTATAAATTCTGTATTTGTAATAAATTATTAAGTTACTACTATAAATTATTCAGTAATCACTAGAAATTATTCTGTAAATACTATGAATTATTCAGTAACCACTATGAATTATTCAATTCTACTTCATGTTATTCAATTACCACTGTAAATTATTCAGTGTGTACTACAAATTATTCAGTAAATATTATGATTTATTCAGTAAATACTACAAATGATTCAGTAACTTCTGTGAACTATTCAGTACCCACTATAAAGTATTTAGTAACTACTATAAATAATTCAGTATCCACTATATATTGTTTACTATTCAGTATGTAATATTCCATCAACTAATATGAATTATTCCATTAACTATTATGAATTATTCATCTTAATCACGAATTATTCCATAACTACTAAGAAACTAATGTGAAAGTTCTGACCTTTAGAGTTTATAGGGTTAACACAGTATACTCAGCTATTAAAATGATAAAATAATTGCGACTCAATCTGCACATTACTGTTTCAGAGTGCTATACTGTGGAGATTTTATACTTACAGGTCAAAAGTTATCACTTGAGGTTTTCTATAGCAGCGTTTCTCAGCCCTGGTCCTGGAGGCCTACAGTCCTTCACACTTAGATGCTTTTCCTGCTTTGTTCAGGTTCTTCCTCACGAAGAAATTCCACACGTTCCAGACATGAAAACTTTTTACCTTAACTTTCCAGGCTTTTTACATTCACTTTTGTAAAGATCATTTTGTATGCAATGGCAATGAGATTTGCACATCTAATACTAAACATTTACAAACTGTTCACTCTTCAAGCTGATTTAGAATCTCGATTCAGTGAGAAACGCTTTGAATTGACATGATTCAGATGTGTCAAGTGGTTGCAAATGAACCAAATGTGCCACCTCAATACAATTCCTGCTATAATAACCACAAGAAAGAAATTGATTTAATGTGTTACTGTTATGATTTTATGTCAGCTGAGACATTTGAATTATGAACCATTATGAATCATTTTCAGTGGATTTTTTTATTTTACTACACTCTCTAGGGTTCAAGCGTTCTTTAGTAAAGGAAATGGTTCAATATAGAACCATCTGCAGCACATTCACCGTCAATCTGAAGAAGACTTTCAAAGATCATGCAAAGAAAGGGTTCTTTGAGTGTTCATGGTTCTTTATAGACCCATTTTCTTTAAGAACCATCCTTTTTAACAGTGTACCGTAATACTCTGACTACAGAATATCTATCCTTTCTCCACTTCCTGGATTCTTCCAGTCCGTTTTCTCTATTCCCAGACTATCCCTGGCCTCCACGCTTCTCCAGACATGCAGAAAGAGCTAATATTACACAAATACTATCAAAGTTCTGTCTGAGACAGTTTAAATCTCACCTCCTTTGCTCTAGCAGGCCACAGCACTACTGAGCTGAGGAGCGTTAGGAGCATCCAGGCTGACCTCACCATCACCATCCTCCTCTCCTGAAGCTCCTGGACCCCTCACACCACTCCAGTATGTGTTTCTGCATCAAGTTCGTCTCTCATTCTGTCCTTTGTGGAACCAGCTACCCTCCTGCTGTACAGTGAGGACTCTTCCCTGCACAGTTTTGGTGGAAATACAGACAGAACCGCGTTTTTCAGGCTCGTGTAGCAGATAATGAGCGCGTGAAGCTCCTATTAGCACTGCCCACTGTTAAGCCCACTCAGGACCAGTGCAAAGCGACTGCAGCTTCTCTCTGAGCTTCTAAACTCCAGAAAGTATGTTCTTTAGACTGTGAGAGCTGCTAAGTTCCCTCAGAGCCTGGAGCTTCAAAAAAGCAGGTAAGAGCTCATTTCCCTGCGTTCTGCTGGTGCTTTAGCTAAAACACTCGTATAGGTGGTTCTTTAAGGGTTCTTTCTGTTTAGAACCATGAATTCTATAACCATTTCAAGCTTAAACGGTTCTTAGCATTGTGAAATGGCTCTTCAGATTGATGGAGGATGTGTTGAACGCGCTTCCATACAGAACCTTTTTGAAAATGGCTCTATGTAGCACCAAAATGGGTTCTTCTACTGTTACTAGCTTGACGTCGTAGCGGTAGAAGAACCCTTTTTGGTGCTCTATAGAACACCTCAATAGAACATACATCGGCAGCTTCTCGTTCAACTTTTCCGGTCCACCTTAAATGGTGCAACTTGCATTCAGACGCGTGTACAGACGCCACAATGTACCACTGCAGCATTTAAGGTGGAACGGAGTCCAGCAGCTGGCGTCAGTCAGCCTCGTTCACGTTCTCAGTACAGGGGACTGCTGAGAGCTTTACAGTGCTGAAAAAAACATAGAACCCTTCCAGAGTTTTTGTTGGTTCCTGATGGTTTTGTATGTGTTTTGGTCTTTTTAATGGGTTGATATCACAGTGTAAAGGACTGTAGTGGTTTAACAGGTGACCAGTGCCTGATTCTGAATGCATCTAATGGTTTCCTAATGGGATCTAAAGGTGATCTACTGTGATAAAGTGGTCTCTACTGGAAAGCATTAGGGTAATTCTTATTAGAAATGCATCTGATGGTTTCCTAATGGGATCTAAAGGTGATCTACTGTGATAAAGTGGTCTCTACTGGAAAGCATTAGGGTAATTCTTATTAGAAATGCATCTAATGGTTTCTATGGGATCTAAAGGTGATCTACTGTGATAAAGTGGTCTCTACAGGAAAGCATTAGGGTAATTCTTATTAGAAATGCATCTAATGGTTTCCTAATGGGATCTAAAGGTGATCTACTGTGATACAGTGATCTCTACTGGAAAGCATTAGGGTAATTCTTATTAGAAAGCAAAAACATTACGTTTTAATGGTCCTTTTCCAGCAGGGTAGTGATGTTCATGTTGCAATAAATATGTGAATTTGTAGTTATGAGTAAGAAAGCATCAAGATTAAGTGACATTTCACATGTTTTTTGAGTTTTCAGAGGTGTAACGGTGCAAATTCAACCCCATATTCGATTCTGAGGTCAGTTATTGATATTTTGTGTTCTCCCTGCTGAAAAAACCCATAGAACCCATTGTGTCTGTTTGTTCCTGATGCTTTTGTGATGTGTTTTAGCTTTTTTAATGAATTGATATCACAGTGTAAAGTACGGAGCCCCGCTGGTGACATCCTGTATAAATGAAAAAAAAATGTGTGGCCACGACTTAATAAGCCGTGATCTCGTTCCCCACGCCCTACTAAGTCATGGCCACGACTTAATCATCTCATTCCCACGCCTTACTAATTCGTTGATAAGGTGTGGCCACGGATTATTTTTATTTATACCGGATCATCAGGGCTCCGTAGTAAAGGACTTAACAGGTGACTACGGAAATCCCTACGGAGAGGCCCTGAGTTGTTGCCATAATTTTCTGGATTGTTATCTTGAGATCACAAGATAATTAACTCATTATCTAAAGATAACAATTTTTGTTATGTCAAGAGAACAACATAACTAACTTGTTATCTCAAGATAACAACTTTGTCATCTTGAGATCACAAGATAATTACCTGGTTATCGCAAGAGAACTATATTATCTTAAGATCACAAAATAATTAACTCATTATTTCAAGGTAACAACTTTTGTTATGTCGAGATAACAACATAACTTACTTGTTATTTTCAAGATAACAATTCAGAAAATTCTAAGCGCCTTTTGGCCTCTCTGGACTTCCGTAGCTGACCAGAGGCTGATTCTAAATGCATCTGATGGTTTCCTAATGGGATCTAAAGGTGTTCTGCAGGAAACTATTGATCGCTATTAGTAATCATAAAGCCAGTTCCCATTAGAAAACAAAACCATGAGGTTTAAATCCTTATGGTTTCTAATGGTCCTTTTTTAAGCAGGGTAGTGTTGTTCATGTTGCAATAAATATGTGAATTGACCTGAATAAATAGGTCAGCATTAAGATCAAGTGACATTTGGGCACTTTCCCAGATAACAAGCATATATCAACCTGCTGGCTTTATAAGGTCAGCACCTCTCTGAATGTTTGCCACTGCTGGTCCACCCTCAGACCACCCACATCACTGTCCCGCATACAAGCTCCTTTTATTTTAGTCTTTTATTTTAGAAAATAAACTAAAACAAATACTACAAACAGAGAAAAAATGACTAAGCCTAATATAAAATGATTTAATTGAAAACGTTGTTGTTGACACAGTGCTAGATACAATTATTTTGCTGCTGTCAGAACAAAACCTTGTATCTCCATTTTTGACGTTTTTCAGTTTTTGACATAATTTGAAAATGCCTGTTGTCCTTTACATTGTTTGTAAATTTCATGATGAGTGGACCAAAGGAAATGGCCCAAAACGACTTTCGAAAAAAGTCTGGTTCCATTGACTTCCATTAAAGGTAAAGAAGGTTTGTTCCTTCTCCTGTAAAGTTACCATTTTGGACATACAAGGTTTTGTTCCAACAACAGCAATTTACTAAACTAATTTACAAAGTTTAACTAAACGAAGGAAGGAAAAATAAGTAAATAGGACTGTGAGTGGAAAATGAGCGATAATAAGTGGAATTTTGTCTAATTCACAGATGGGCCGCCCAGAAAACGCTGAGCAAAATGCCATTGGACCACCAGCTTTGCCATCAGCGGGCCAACGGTGGCCCACTGTCCTCTTGCTATTAGGGTTTTTTCATTTTTAGAGGTGTAACAGTACAAATTCAATACGATATTCGAGTCTTCGGTCAATTATCGATATTGTGTGTTCTCCCTGCTAAAAATCCCTAGACACGATAAAGTGTCTTTTTTTGCTTTCTAATGGGAACTGGCTTAATGGTTTTCATTAGAGGCCACTAGTTTCCTGTAGAAGACTTTTAGCTCCCATTAGGAAACCATCAAATGCATTTAGAATCAATTGGTCACTGGTTAAGCCATTAGAATCCTTTCCATTGTGATGTCCATATCATCACATTAAAAAAGCCAAAACACATTACAAAAGCATCACATCACAAAAGATTCACCAGTGTTCCCAGAGATCTCAATCTGTAGATAATGGCTCCAACTATGGGCCAGTGATGTCCATAAACATTATCCCACCCTTTCCAGGCTGATATATTTTAGCAGTTTTCTTTTTTCTGATCTATTTTGGATTTTCTTTCGAACATTGCTAGTGTGCATGTAAAGACTACACCACATCCATGGTAAACCTTAGTATGAATGAGATTAGCCTTCAGCAGGGCTCCGTTCACATTTGGTTCATTTGTTGCTTAAGTAACTCAGGGGGCATTTACGCTTTCACAAGCTGGTTGACTCGGCTCCATAAATAAGTGAAATAACAAGTGTTTTGTGTTTGATGAGGTTCTTTTTGTCTAATATTTCATTTTGTTAAAACATATTCACCGCAACAAATATGCACTAATAGAGAAAATCAAGAGCTAACACTTTTTCACAGCACCGCAAATCTCAAATGCCTTACTACCATTCAGCTGTGATAGAATTTGTTTATCCTGGCATTTCTTTTTTTTTTCTTCTTCTTTTTCAGTTTTTACCCAATTTGGTCATCTCCAGTTCCACCCACTAGTTAGGACTAGAGTGTAAGAGTGTCTGTTGGTTCCTGATGCTTTTGTAATGTGTTTTGGCTTTTTTAATGCGATGACAACACAATGGAAAGGATTCTAATGGCTTAACGGGTGACCAATTGATTCTAAATGCATTTGATGGTTTCCTAATGGGAGCTAAAAGTGTTCTACAGGAAACTCGCGGCCTCTAATAAAAACCATTAAGCCAGTTCCCATTAGAAAGCAAAACCATTAGGTTTTAATCTTAATGGTTTCTAACAGGACTTTTTCAGCAGGGTTTCTTTCAACAGAGCTCTAATGCTATAGAAATTGATTTGGCTAAGATATATACAGTTTAAAAAAAAGATCTATGAAAAAAACAAAAATCTGAACTGCCTCTTTTAAAACCGCCTCATACAGTCAGCAGGTTTTCAGTTATTTTCTAAGTATAGAGGGAATTGTGTCAAGATTGTTGTCTGCGGTCTTTTGTGTGCTACAAATGCAGCAGATTAGGTTAGAGAATAGGTTGAAAAATGCTGGGGTGTCCCTTTAATTATCTGTATCAGGTGTGATTAGTTAGGATTTAAACCAAACTCCATGGAGCAGTTGGCCTGCAGACACAGGCTTTGGCCCTTTACTGTTTACTACTTTACTCTCTGTGACTTTATGATCGTGTCTCGTTGCCATTCAGGACAGTAAGTAATCCCCCTGCCTTAAAATGAATAACTTATTTCCTGACCTTTAGCAACAATAACTGCAGCCAGCATAATGTGTTACCTGCTTTTCACATTAATGTGAGGGTAGTTTGAGCCTGCACTTCTTTGCAGAATCAGTTTAATTTGGATATATTGGTCCATTTCCACTTTGGACTGGACATCCATAAACATCATCCCAAAAGGTTTAGCCTTTTTTGCAAACGTAAGACAGGTACTGATGTTTTTTGGTTATCAGTGTGTTCTGCCTTGATGCCCTTTTTTGCTCTGTCCCTTTCTTACTGTGGAATCATGCACACTGACCTTAGCTGAGGCTAGAGAGACTTGCAGTTCCTTGAACATTCTCTAATGGTTTGCCTCTGTGCCCTTAGGCAACTTTTGGCAAGCCGGTCACTCTTGGGAAGATTCACCAATGTTCCCAGAGATCTCAATCTGTAGATAATGGTTCCAACTATGGGCCAGTGATGTCCATAAACATTATCCCACCCTTTCCAGGCTGATATATTTTAGTAGTGTTCTTTTTTCTGAGCTATTTTGGATTTTCTTTCGAACATTGCTAGTGTGCATGTAAAGACTTTGTGGTGACTACACCACA